GCTCCTGGCTTTGCATCAGGTCAGCTCTGGCCATTTCAGCCACTTGGGAAGTGATCCAGGGGATGGGAGATCTTTCTATCTCTCCTTCTCTGTAAACTTGCATTTTCAATAAAAATAAGTAAGTCTTAATAAGGAAAGACAACGCTGGTGTCCTTAGGAGACACAGTCATGTTTACAGAGGGAGTCGGCTCGCCTGGAGAGGCCACTGAGGTTGCACTCGGGTGTCTGCAGAGGAGTTTTAGCTCCGTCAGCCAGAAACCAGACAGCACACTGTACGCTCAGACACTACCAGGAACTGTCACTCATAAACCTGGGGCCATTTCGGGGTCTGTTTTAGGGAGCTGGGGGACACCTGGCTGGGCTTTCATTCCCCAGGGACGCACTCACCAACCTGGAAGCTCTCTGTCTCCTCCTGTGAAAACAGGCACTGCTCGGGTTCCGACAGGGAGCTGGCATGTAGAGCCCCCCACCACACACAGCGCACAGCAATGGCAGTGGACAATGGCCCATCCCCACCCCCTGCTCCCTGGAAAGGAACAGCTTGACCGTGCACCCACCTGGGCGACAAGCACTCCTCTGGCCATCACAGCCAGGAACCTGCAACAGCTTGTAATTAAAGCTGTTTAGCATTTAATCTGCCTCAAGTTGGGTAATGAGTCTTTATTGACGACTTGATTGGCACAGGCAGGTCATGGCTGTGGCACCTGCTCCTTGCACAGCTCTCTGGACTGGAGTGCTATCCTAGGAAAGCAAGCTTGTGGGCAGCCAGCTGGACATGCCCAGGGCACTGCGTTAGCATCAGAGCTCCAGGCTGCGGGGCCTGCAGGCTCACACGGAGATGGACACGAGTCACTGCTCTTGTGCTAGGATGATGGTGAGAGACACCCTGTCTCCTGCATAGTCCCCCAGGGGACAGGGAGCTGACCACTGCACACCCACCTCCTGCCTTGCCTGGCTTCCCTCCTAAGGGCCTAGTTGGAAGCTGCTGCAGCCTGGCGGGGGGGCGGGTGGTGGTGCCAGTAGACAGGGTTCACTCCCTGGGGCTTCCTACGGACTGGTTTAATGCTAATGGGAAGCAAGCAGCAGGCAGAGACCCTGGGTGCTCAGAAAGAGCAGGAAGGCTCTCCCAAGGGGCAAATGGCCTCTGGCCATCAGGGAAACTGGGTCAGGAGGGTCCCTGGAGGCAAAGTAACAGAGGGTGGGCCTGTGCAGCCCACGGGCAGCTCTGACCATCCAGGGCTGGACCCCAGGGTGAAGGCACCACTGGACAAGGCTTCTGTGATCAGCTTCCTGACACCCAGAGCCAGCCCAGCCCTGGCCAAGCTTCCCCAACAGTGTAGGGGAAGGAGCAAGGGCTTCCTGGTGTGCAGCATCCAGCCCCAGGCCCAGAGCCTCGGTCAACACAAAGCATGAGGCAATGGTATCAGGGGATGGCAAGCCAGGTAGAGGGCAGCATATCTGTGGGGTAAGGTGGGTACCCAGAGGTGGGAATCCCAAGCAGCCACCTGTGTTGAACAGTTACCCCCAAGGAAGTGCCATATGTAAAGGAACAGTTGGGGGGGGGGACACAAGGGGATAGGATGCAGCCACTTGCGGAGCACAAAGACACCAGGATGGGAGAAGTGCAGCCTGTGGCTCCCATGGCCTTGCCCCCATCTACCGGGGTGGCCCTGACAGCGGCATCTGATTTCATTCCCAGCTGGGGCCAACACCGAGGGCATACATGAAGACGGCTTCAGGAAGGACAAGCACAATTTCTGTTTGACAGTATTTCATGGGCAAACGCAGAACGTTCTCTAGGTTCTAGAAGTGCTTTCCACAGGCACAAGCTCCCTCTGCAGGGAGCAGTGGCCCAAGTGCCCAGCAGCAGACATTTGGGGAAGCATGAGTGTCCAGGTGTCTCCTGTGGTGTGTACTGGGCCCGCAGGACAGGTGCCATAGGCCCCCATGGGCTGGCAACTGCTTCTGCTGGCCAGGTTTCCCCTCAGACATAGGCTTGGTCTCCCTCGTGTCTCTGGTTCTTCTCTAGCGCCAGTGGCCACTGACTACAATGGAGTTACCAAGTGCTTTGGCAGGTGGAATTCTGGGATGGCCAACCTTAGCATCCTCCCTCATGGATCCCCAAATATAGGCAGAGCCAGAAATAGACCTGGCACCTGACTCCGGGCAAACAAGTCATTCTGATGGCTCCTACTCCTTTCTGCTGCCAAGGGCATGTGTTTGGCCTCCTGCTCTCACATTGGGCAGTCTTCCTGCCACCTCTGAAGTCACCTGCCTCAAACCCCATGTGACTGCACCATACCTTTGTCATCTGTCATGGAGCAAGGTCATGGGAGGCTCACCAAGCTGCAGAATAGAAACTAACAAGAGGAACCCCAGAGGCTCCTGGCCAGCACACTCGTGTGATGGGAGACCAAGGCTGGCACGGGAGGTGACTAGCCTGGGACACCAGAAAAGCTGTGGGTGCCAGGTCTCTGCTCCCCACTGGGTGTCTGGACAAGCGTGCAAGTGGCAGGAGGCCCAGGAGCCTCACTCATGGCCCGGGGTCCCAGGGCTCAGTGAACACCAAGAACAAGAGGGAGAGGCAGGGGCACCTAGCCACCACTGGGTGTTGACCACACAACTCCTAACCCAGGAAGAGCCCACAGAGGGAGCCATCGCAGGACAGGAGGGGCAGGCACTCCGGGGGAGCATGCACTGTGGGGAAGTACACACTGCAGGGGAGCATGCACTGGAGGGTAGCACAGGGACCAGCTGCACCAAGGGCCACGTTCTGTTGGGGTGGCAGACCCAGAGGCTCAGCACCAGGTCCAGGCTGGCCAGAGAGCTGTCTATATCTCCCAACTCACTGGGCTCACTCAGCAGCCAGGGCTGCCAGGGGGTCATGCCTCGGCCAGGTAAGGCTAGACATCCTGGCCCAGGAGCCAGCCCAGGGCTAAACACAGACTGCACAAAAGCAATGGGCTACAGAGGGCAGGGCTTGTAGTACACTGGATACATACGGCCCATGGGGGCCCATATCTGTGTGCTGTGGCCCTAGGTAGGGAGTTGGCTGGTACCTGCAGCGAGGTGACCAGAGCTGGAATGGGAGGTAGCCTTGGGGAGGCTCCTGGGGGTGCTGTCAGTGCCAGAGTGTGCTGTTAAGTTGACCTTCAGCCATTACAAGGTGGGTGGGCCTGGGGGCTTCTCTACCCCATCCACACCTTGCTAACTTCCCTGCCCCCTTCAGCCCTGCAGCCCGGTGTACCAACTACAGATACGACTTCAGGAATCAGGGCGGGGACGCTATTCCAGGTCCCCCACCTCACACTGAAGACCAGGGACACCACAAGGTGCCCCTTGTCCAGCCCCTGGGCCAGGAACGACAAGGTGCACCATCCGGGGTCAACTCCCCTTCCCATGCCTTCCAGCTCTCCTGGCTTGGGGTCCTCTGGCAGGGGCTCCCCACTGTGGGCTCCATGCCTGGGACCCCTGCAGCCCTGGCAGCCCTTCCTCACATCCTGCTCTGGTCTGGATAGCACCACAGGCCTGACCTGAACCCAGCTCTTGTCGATGCCTCCTCCCCATGGGGCCGGGGCTCCCTCAGACTGGCCGCCCTGAGTCCACGCACTTAACCAAGAGTGGACAAGCAGCTCCCAGGGTGCAGGGGGGCAGGGGGTCAACATGAACACATGGACCAACCATGACGTTCTAGGGGAGGGCCGCATGAACACATGGACCAACCATGACGTTCTGGGGGAGGGCAGCATGAACACACGGACCAACCATGACATTCTGGGGACAGGGCAGCATGAACACACGGACCAACCATGGCGTTCTGGGGGCAGGGCAGCATGAACACACGGACCAACCATGGCATTCTGGGGGAGGGCAGCATGAACACATGGACCAACCATGGCGTTCTGGGGGAGGGCAGCATGAACACACGGACCAACCATGGCGTTCTGGGGGCAGGGCAGCATGAACACACGGACCAACCATGGCGTTCTTGGGGCAGGGCAGCTTCAGGGCGCTGGCTGCTCAGGGACCGCAGGGATTTCTCCTCCCAAGAGCCAGGGTGACACACAATTCTGCAGAGACCAGTTTTCAGGGAAAATCAGGACCTGGACTCTGCCCCCAGCAGAGATGCCAGGGCGCCTGCCTCTCCCAGCCCCGTCTCCCAGTGCCCCTGCCTTCCCTTGGGACATGTGCATGAGCAAGCAGGCAGCAGAGCCCACATGTCCCTGCTCCCCTCTACAGTTCCCCAGGGCAGCCGGTCAACAGGGGCCTCCTCCATGGGCCGCACACACTTAGGAGACAGTGCAGGGAATGCGTGTTTATTAAAGAGCAAGCACAGCAGAGCAGGCAGTGGCCAGCAGTGTCCATATAGCACTCAAACCAGAAATCAGGAATGGGGTTCACAGAGAGCAGCCTCCCTCCTAGACACAGACACACAGACACACAGACACACAGACACACAGACACACACACACACACACACACACACACACACACACACACGGTGTCACACATGGCCCACATCCCACCCCGTCTGCCCCAGCTATGCCTCTCAGGACAGACACGCACACACGTCACACCTGAACCCACATGGAGACAGTGGCCACCCTCAGCCCCTTCCCCAGCGATGGCAAGGCCCAGGGCCCACCAGCTGCACACCCACTGGCCAGGTCTGGGCCTGCAGCACATCTCCTCCCTCAACGCAGGCACAGAGCCGAGGGGATGGGAGCAGGTGCCAGCCTGTCTGGGCCAAGCAGAATGCTGAACCTGCAAGGTGGTTCACCTAGAGCCCAGAGCATCGGGGACACAGGAAACCAACCAAATGACACAGACCCAGGACTTTCAGGAACTAAACGTGAAGCCGAAGCGCGTGACTGCTCCAGGGCACGGAAATGAGCATGCAGAATGGAACTGGGGCCACGCTGAGAAAACACCCCATCTCTGCTCCCCTCGCGCATCCAAACGCGCATCCAAACGCCCCAGCCCGCCCTGGCCTCGCCGCGGCCTGCCTGGTGGCTGCTCTCACACACCAGCCCAAGGTGTCCTCTGGCTGGGCACAGGAGATCTCCCAGCTGAAAGGACCCCATTTCAGGCAACAGAGGACTGACCTCCAGCAGGGCAGCCCCCTGCACACACAATCCCCACCACCACCACGCGTGCTCTGAGGACCCTGCAAAGGCGGACAGGCCAGGCCTCACTGCAGCAATGAGGCCACAGAAGTAGAGTGCGGGCCCTGAGCTCACTCCACGGTCCGGCCGGGACTCGCTCTTGCTCTCCCTCAGAACTAGACTTTTATTTGGTTTGCTGACATTCTGCATTTCCAGTGAAAAGCTTTGTAAAATACAACGCATCACACGGGGCTGTAAGAGGTGGCTGCCCTGGGCGTATCGTCAAGACGCCGTGCTCGCAACATATCCACACTGCCATGTCACACCGTGCGCTGCCAGGCCTGCAGAGACCCGAGACTCAGGCCGGGGGCCGCGCATCCTCCCCTGCTCTTCCACACGCCGCTTCCAGGGTCCGTCCAGCCAGGGAGAGATGGATACACACGGGGCTGGGGGCTGTGAGCATGCAGGCGGGCCGTTCTGCGCTTACAAATAGAAGTCAAAGCTCAGGTCGCACTTGCCCATCTTCTGTTTGTACACAAGGTCGAATTTCTCGTTCATGGAGACGGTGAAGATGTCTTTCCACAGCCCAACTCGGCCTGGAACACAAACAGAGGCCCCGGGGAGCCTTGGCAATGGGGTCAGGGGCTTCTGGTTCAGCCACGTGCACTACAGACCCACCAGTCCCCTCCTGTTTCTGGAGCTGCAGCAGGTAGTCATGGCCAGGGTCAACAGCCCCAAGGCTGGAGCCACATGCCACTGCCTGTTCAGTGGGACCCCCCACAAAACCAGCCCCGAGCCCACAGGGGTAGAGGGAGTCACCTCGAGCTTTTGGCCGACTCCCCAGACCCCATCATATGGCCAGCGGCCACGGGCTGCGGGCTCCCCGGGGGCAGTCTTGGCCTGCAGGCATCAGTGCCAGGGCAGGCAGGAGCCATGCCACACTCAGTGAGGACTCCCTCCCGCAAGTACCCGGGGCCTGACTGGCAAGGACCCAGTGGCCACATGGGACGCTGCTGGCCGGAGACACAGGTGTAGCCTGCACACTGCAGCCAGAAGTCCTTAGCCTCCTGCTGTCACTGGCCTGGTCAGAAAGCCACGCACACTGCGGGCTGCAGGTCCCATGCGCACACAGAACTGTGTCACTTTATGAAGACTGGTGAGCCAAGGTTGGGGAGGGAAAAGACAAGAAATGTCAGCATGCGCCTCTGAGCCCGTCTTCCCCCACCACAGGGGCTGCGGCCGGCCAGGCCCATGGCAGCAGCATGCATGAAGACGTCAGGGCGGAATCCCAGCGGGCTGAGTTGCACGCCTGCACTTCTGTGCACGGTCAGAGCAGCCCAGGGCTCCAGGCAGGGCACCGAGCGTCCCCAGACTCCCTGCATCAGCCCTGTTGTGACAGAGACATCCTTGGCCTGGCAGGACCCCGGGAACAGGACTGCAGTGCCCCACGCAGGCACTGAGCTAAGAGGCCCGACACAGCCAGGACCACCATACTTCTGGCGATGTCCAGTGATCCACCCGGGCTAGGGGGAAACAGGAAGCTGCTCTCTCCTGATGCCGCAGGGGCGAGCTCAGAAGCTTGCAGACAGACCACGCTAACCACACATTTGTCCAGTTATTTCCCTCAGCTGCAGCGGCTGAGGGCCCATTGACGGAGTCACCCACCTGGTTCGGGGTTTGCAAGCAAGACAATTTATGCTGTGACATGAACCCAGTGTGAGCGGTGTGGCTGGCTCCTGGAGCCCTGCGCTCACCGCCTCGGGGAAGTCTTCTGGGCAAAGAGGCAATGGGCTACGAAGAAACAAAACCAAAGAACTGAAACAAAGCAAAACCAAGGCGACAATGACAAAGCAACCCGTGCACGGGAGCCACGCGGGGTCTCCTGGAGCTCACATCACGGATGGCGGAACACAAGGAAAAACCAAACTGAAAAAACAAGCAAAGGAATTTCAAATCATAAACACTGGTGAAGATGTGGCTGGAAAATAAATGGCGAGAAGCTGGGGTTGAGGGAACTTTCCTCAGCGTGGTAAACACTGTGCCCCAGCCTGTGGGACCCCCGCAGAGGAGCAGCAGGCTGAGCCCCGGGCCTCGTGGGCCCCTAGCTCCTCTCCTCCCATTCAGGCATTCCTGCCACGCCTACCCGGCTGGGGCAGTCTCCCTGGACAACAGAGATACACGACTACTGGGGCAAGGGTGCACCAGCCTAAGCCTTGCCCTGGTGGTTTCAAGGTCAAGCCTTCCCAGCATCAAAGTAGCGCCTGATGTGGGGGACCCCAAGGGAAGAGGGGAGCAGCCCAGTAGAGCAGGAGAACTCCTGCCTGGAACATGTCCCCACCTCCACTGCCTCATGCCCACCCCTACTTCCACTGCCCCCTGTGCTGTCCTCGTCTGGGCCACCGGGTCCAGATGCATGGGGGCAGGATCTCCCATAGAACTGTCTTCCAGTAGCTGCCTGGAGTGTGCCAGGGCAGTGACAGGCTGGAGGGGACCTACTCCCAGTATACTAGGAAACTCTGGCAGCACAGAACCTATTCTAGACTCCAGGCCATCTGGCAAGGCCTGCCAGGCACCCAGCAGTCTCCCTTATGGGCAAGGACTGCACTGCTGCCCAGGCACTGGCCACCGAGTGTCAGTAGCCTGCACGTTGCCACCGCATCCTGGCAAAGCACAGTGCACAGGTCAGCCAAGCCCTGCTGGGAGGGGTGGAGAGCAAAGGCCAGGGGGCCCCAGGGCATTGAAAGGGAGGGGATGGGGACGGGGACCAGCTGGGGCAGGTGAGTTGAGAAGGGGGTGGGGGCACATGTACCCCGGTCCATGGGCAGGTGAGCCGGGAGGAAGGAGGAATGGGGACACATACCCCGGCCCACAGGCAGTGCCTCGGCATTGCAGCACTGGTCTACCAGCTGGTGGCAGTGCTCCGTGAGAGACTCTAGCTGGGCCTTGTCACAGGCCACCCCCAGGAACCTGGCCAGTTGCTCCACCATCGTCACCAGGTCCTGGAGGACAGAGGGAGAGCAGCTGTCAGGGCCAGGACCTTCCATGGGTTGACGACCCAGCTGGGCACACCACCCCAGCGCTCAGGACAAAGCTGGCTTTGGTCCCATCTGAGAATAAAACAGAGAGGTTAAGAACCACCCTACAGGCTGGGTGGGGCTAGGCTGCCGCACTCACCACCAGCATAAGAGACAGGGCTGGGGGCTGACCTGGTGGGGGTTCTTAGGGCTCTGCCTGACCAGGCCAGTACCTACCAGTGAATACCAGGCCAGTACCTACCAGGGCTAGGGGCTAGGCTACTATGTCAGCCAGCATACACAAGCAAGGTGTGAGGACCTGAAAGGTGGCCTTTTAAGGGGTTCCCCAACTAGACCACTGCACTTGATTCCCAACCTCAGGGAAAACCACAGGTCCAACCTCAGGGCCTATGCTGCAGGACTGGGCCACCTCAGCTGCTAACCCAGCAAGAATGGAAAAAGGGCTGGCACGTTGACTCAACTGGCTAATCCTCCTCCTCCAAGTGCCAGTATCCCATATGAGCACCAGTTCGTGTTCTGGCTGCCCCACTTCCCTTCCAGTTCCTTGTCATGGCCTGGGGAAGCAATAGAGGATGGGCCAAAATCCTAGGACCCCACATCCACGTGGGAGACCAGGAAGAATCTCCTGGCTCCCAGCTTCAGATGGGTGCAGCACCGGCCATTGTGGTCACTTGGGGAATGAATCATCGGACGGAAGATCTTCCTTCCTGTCTCTCCTCCTCTCTGTATATCTGACTTTGGAATAAAAATAAATAAACCTTTAAAAAAAACTGAGAGCAAACCCAGAAGAACCCCAAAGACAAGCCAGCTCATCTCAGCCAACAGAAGACTGTAAGGACCTCATCACGAGTTGGAAAGCAGGCCAGGCTGAACAACACTCCAGGCCAGGGTCTGCAACAGGCACCTAGGCAGGTGGACACATAGAGGCAGACACGGACAGCCAGCAGGCCTTAGAAGGAACTCCTCACCTCTGGCAAAACAAAGCCGACGACCTCCCAGAACAATCTAAACCACTCCAGGGGCACCCCCGGACATTCCTGCCTCACCAGGGTCTCTAAGGAGACGCAGCTGGTGCAGTGTGACAGCAACGCGCTGCGCGCTCTCCTTCCTCCTTTCCCCGCCCCCGCAGGAGGGAAAACTTACCTCACCCCCACCCTCCAACCTTCTCCATCCTAACCGGAAACCCACAAGGATCTGCACCCCCCTCATTTTGTGATAGATATTAAAAAAAAAAAAGAAGCACCCCAGGGCACTCATCTCCAAGCGGCACCCAGAGCAGCTGCCATGGAGAATTCTGAGGCAGAAGACACGAGGTCCGGACCTTGGGACAGATCTGCATGCCGGAAGTACAGTGTCCTGAGACATGTACACAGAGCAACAGGGACTGGACAGCCTGGCCTCCAGGCGCCTCAGCAGCTGGACCCCAGGGCCACCCGGGAGGCCTGCAGCAGCTGGACCCTGGGCGACCTGGGAGGCCCTCAGCAGCTGGACCCCAGGGTCCCCTGGGAGGCCCTCAGCAGCTGGACCCCAGGGTCCCCCGGGAGGCCCTCAGCAGCTGGACCCCAGGGTCCCCCAGGAGGCCCTCAGCAGCTGGACCCCAGGGCCACCCGGGAGGCCCGCAGCAGCTGGACCCTGGGCGACCTGGGAGGCCCTCAGCAGCTGGACCCCAGGGTCCTCCGGGAGGCCCGTAGCAGCTGGACCCCAGGGCCACCCGGGAGGCCCTCAGCAGCTGGACCCCAGGGTCCCCCGGGAGGCCTGCAGCAGCTGGACCCCAGGGCCACCCGGGAGGCCTGCAGCAGCTGGACCCTGGGCGGCCTGGGAGGCCCTCAGCAGCTGGACCCCAGGGTCCCCCAGGAGGCCCTCAGCAGCTGGACCCCAGGGCCACCCGGGAGGCCCGCAGCAGCTGGACCCTGGGAGACCTGGGAGGCCCGCAGCAGCTGGACCCCAGGGCCATCTGGGAGGCCCTCAGCCCCCTCCTCTAGCCGGACACGCACCTGCACGCTGGACCTAGGTCAACCTGAAGGTGCAGCAACACCTCACAGCAGAGAGCCTGTGGGGGCTGCACGTACCTCCCGCCACCCTGCCAGCCCATTTTCCTCTTCCTCGTCACCAGGAAGTCCCCAAACACAGAAAAACCACGAAGGGCTCTGTAACCTTCTTCTGTTGAAGGCTTACAAAAAAAATTCACATCCTAACATCAGGCTCCAGAGCTTGCGGGTGTGAGGACCCCGGATGGGGGCATGGGGCAGCTAGGGAAGAATGTGTGGATGTGGCAGAGCCGGGTACAGACCCCAGAACAGGCTGTGGGCCACAGCAGTGAGGATGCCAGTGTACCTGGTGCACACGGGAGCAGCCACTGTGCAGAGGGGCAGCTCGGGGCTGGAGCCACGACCCAGGCCAGAGCCCAGGGCTGGGCCCATGGGGACGGGGAGGATGAGGAGGGACAGCAAGGCCTTTGTGTAATGGAGGTGACGCAGGTACAGACAACTGCAGCCTTCGAGTCCCAGAGGACAGGGTGGTGCCACCAGCTCCTGCAGGGCCACACGAACAAAGTGGCCTCCAGGCCAAGTGGGCATGAGTGTCCCAGAGGCCCCACAGCTGACTTGACACTCCTGCAGTTGTGGAGTGTCATGAGTGAAAAGGTGGGCCGGGGACAGCAGCTTCTGTGACACAAGGACCCCCGGGGGGAAACGGGGAGCAAACTCAGCAGAGGAGGACGGAAAGGGGCTGGCCCTGGCTGTCCAGGATGGCAGCACGACACCTGCCACCCACATGTCCAAAAGCAGGAGGGAGGACAGCAGCCAGTGGACACAGCGGCCGCCTGCGTGCAGGGTTCACGTCTGTCACAGTGACGCCAGCGCCTGCACACCGCAAGGGGGCGCTCTTGCAGCACTGCTGTGACAGTGGCAACATACCCGGTGCATGTCTTCGTATTTGAGGAACAGCACGTTTCCGTCCATCCGATGTTCCCAGAACTCCTGCACGTGCTCGAACCAGGAGCCATAGCCCACTGTGGAGACAGCACAGGTGGCCTCAGCGAGGAAGCAGAGAGGCCCCCAGCGCCCGCCCAGGGACACAAGCGGAGGGGCAGGCCGCCAGAGACCCCCTCAGTCCTCAGCCCTGACCACAGCCATGACTGTTTGGAGGACCCTGAGAGCAGGGAGTCACGGCAGACAGTCCCGGGGCCCAGCTCACCTCCCAGCGAGGTATGGCCTGGACAGAAGAGCTGCAAGCAGAGCACCAGGGTCGACAGGAGACGCTAACAGACCCTGTGCACGGGCCGGCAGGCCAGAGGTCACAGGCAGGGCTGTGGCTGAACCACAGTTCTCACAAAAGCCCCTGCCGGTGGAAGGGCCAGGAGCCTGCTGCCCACCCTTGACCACCCTACCTGCAGCCCCCAGCGGGCCCGGTCTGCTTTCTGTAGAAGCCACCAACTCGCCACCACAGCACCTCTGTCCACACCAGGCTCTCAGCAGCAGACCGTGTCCTCTACAAGGCTAGTGTCTCCATGACCCATCTACACAGTGTCCTGAAGAGCTGACCCGTCTACACAGCATTCCAAAGAGCTGCCCCGTCCACACAGCATTCCACAAGGCTGACCTGTCCACACAGCGTCCCACAGGGCTGACCTGTCTACACAGCATTCCACAGGGCTGACCTGTCTACACAGCGTCCCACAGGGCTGACCTGTCTACACAGCATCGCACAGGGCTGACCTGTCTACACAGCGTCCCACAGGGCTGACCTGTCTACACAGCATCGCACAGGGCTGACCTGTCTACACAGCATCCCACAGGGCTGACCTGTCTACACAGCATCGCACAGGGCTGACCTGTCTACACAGCATCCCACAGGGCTGACCTGTCTACACAATGTCCTGAAGAGCTGCCCCGTCCACACAGCATTCCACAGGGCTGACCTGTCTACACAGCATCACACAGGGCTGACCTGTCTACACAGCATCACACAGGGCTGACCTGTCCACACAGCGTCCCACAGGGCTGACCTGTCCACACAGCGTCCCACAGGGCTGACCTGTCTACACAGCGTCCCACAGAGCTCTTTCACCATGACCTGTCTACACCGTGTTCTCTGTGCTGTGAGCATCCCCGGCAGGGTGACCCAGGACGCCTTTGTTACTGGGGTCCTTTACCAGGGGCGTCCCTCTCCCCTCAGGACGTCCTCCACAGCCACTCACTCGGGAGCCGGAAGCCACATTACCTCGGTGCTCCGAGCGTGGCTGGGTCCTGCCCTTGGGGTGGCGCTCGCCCCGTTCCCCCAGCTCGCATGGCAGGAGTGCAAGCAGGCCCCATAGGATCAGGCCCAGAACCGCAGGAAAGGAAACTGCACAGCCTCTGCCCAGGCCAGCCAACACAGGGGCCCACAGGCCTCTGGGCACAGGTCGCCCACTCCAGGGCAACCTCCCCTGGCAGGAAGCGGCTTCCCAGCCCACACGCTGTGCCGTAGCCATCAGCCCGGCTGCCGGGAGAGTGGCAGCTCAGGCCTCTGGGCCTCCTGTGTCCACTGCTGTTTTGCTCTGAGGGAAGGGGTAGAGTATGTAGCTGGGGGCCGTGGCAGGCGCCCCAGAACACAGTGGGAGAGCAGGGTCCTGGGGACGGACAAGGGACTGGCAGGCCTGGGGGGCCCTGGGGGAAGCGTTGGGTGGCCCACAGCACGCCCGGGCAGGGGTACTCACGTTTGTCGTTCATGAATCGCCGGCAGAACTCCTGGAAGGTCCCACGGTAGCTCATGGTCCGCAGCGAGCGGTGGAACTGATAGTAGGACACGACCAGGTCCTTGGGGTTACGCGCCATGTAGATGACCTGCGGGCAGCAGGATGCTCGGGGTGGCCCCAGCCAGGACGGCCCACCCCGCACACCGTCCGCACGGCCACCCCACCAGCAGAGCAGACCCTTCCTCAGGACCACGCCAGTGTCCTGCAGTAGCTCCATCCTCCAGTGCTACCTTCCGATCAGCAGGAGAGAGGACACGGTGGCTTCACACACTTGATGTGGCAGGGACAAACGGGCTGGCACAGCCGTCGGGACAGGGCCCTGTGTTCCACAGCCTGCGCTCCATGCCACCCTGCAACTGGCCCCACACACGGGCAGTGCCTGGACACATGGCCCTCGGCAGCCTCTAGGACCTGGGCCAGCAGTGAACGGGCAAAGGCCTGGGCCAGACAGGTGGGCAGGCAGCAGTTACCTTGGAGTCCCCGTTGTGGAGGTCAGAGGGCAGGAAGCGGTAGGGCAGGTGGCTCTTGATGAGGCGGGGAGATGTCAACTCCTGTAGGGTTGGGGAGGGGCTCAGGAAGCAGCCAGAACCCACCTCGCTCCCTGGACTCCGCAGACACACCCACCTTGGGACACAGAACCAGGCCCTGTCCCAAGCCTGCCCCAGTCACAGGGGTCTGCTCAGTGGAGACTCCCCAAGTCTGGAATGGCCAAGGATGGTCCCAGCAGGACCCTTGCAGGTGCAGGGGCAGGAGATGGGGGCTTTCTCCATACAGCAGCCCCAGGAACGGCCATGTCCCTGCTCGGAAGAAGCTGGGCCCCCCCCCTCAGCAGTGACCCTGGCTTAGCCAGCCCCACAAAGGGAGGCAGCAGAGAAAGAACTGCATTGGAAGACAGAATAAACAGGAGGAGACTGCTCGCTCCTACACCCCACATCTGTTGCTAGCACCCCCAGCTCCCACACAGAGGACAGCCCAGGGCCAGCTCCCACTGGGGTCCTGCAGCCCAGGCACTTGCTTGTCCCCACCCACTCCCCGGTCAGCCTCTGGGGTCACAGTCCCTGGCTCTTCTGCAGGTTGCCTGTGGTCACAGGGGCACTCCAGGCCCCGCCCCCATCCCACCCGGTCCCACCTCCACCTTGGAAGCAGCCCTCCCTGGTGACCGAACCCTGAAGGGGCCCCACCTTAATGATGTCCAGGCCTGGCTGCGGGTACTCCAGGACTGGAAGCTGCTCGTCGATGTTCATGAGGCCGATCTCGTCGGGGTCAGCCCCCTGACTCACCAGGTAGACCACCTCCTGCAGCAGGCTTGTGCCTGGGGGAGAGAAGCCATGGCGGTGCACGCTCAGAGCAGGCCCCAGGGCGGGGGCCAGGGAAGGGGCGGGATGGGGCTGAGGTGGACAGGAAAGCCCCAGCTGAGGGGCGAGGTCCAAGCCCAAACGTGGGAGCAATCAGCTCTGTGTTCCCGGCAGGCCACAGGGTGGCTCTCTCTCAATCGAGTAGCACACAGGGTGAGTGGGAGAGCTGGCTCGCGGCTGCTTCTTGTCTACTAGAGTTAAACTGACCTGGGCCCGGGATGAAAGCCAACACCCCAAGCTGACACTGAGACCCAGAGACTCAGACAAGTTCTAGGACTGCCTTGGCCAACACCTGGCTACAGCAGCACCCAACGGTGAAAGAAGGGAGCAGACAAGGTCACGGCCCAGATACCCCCGGCACGGCCAGCTCTCAGCAACCACGCTGCTACCACCACGCGCAGTTCCAAAGAGGGCCACACCGGGCAGGGGTGGCAGGTGGACAGCAGCAGACAAGAAAGCTACTAGCTCAGGGAAGACACGAGATCCTAGGCCAAGGGGTACAAACTCAGTCTGCAGTGATTACACACTGAAACAGGATTAAGACGAACCACATGTGCCTGTGTAGCCTGGTTAGCACGGCCTGCTTCCCCCTCCAACTGAGGCCCAGCGCCCCAAGTCTGCACTAATAGTAGAGAGGCCCCCACCCCGAAAGCAAGGCCCTGCAGCGCCCATCCCCCTCCTGGCCAGCCAGCAGCGTGGCTTGAATCCCTCCTGGGATCCAGGACTGCCCCACAGGGATAAGCTGAAATTTCACACTCAGGCTGGCTGGGCGCAGCCTCATACTGCTCCTGAGTGGCCCCCTGTCCACACCTCCCTGTCTTGGCTGGGGGCATTTGTGCTCCCTGCCCCTACTCTGCCTTCCTTCCTGTATCTACATCAACCGCACCCAATCAGTAAGGGCTCCCATGGCCAGGTCCACACTGGCACTGCCAGCCCATTCCCAGGAACAGCCTGCACAGCCCTGCCCAGGGGCTGCCTGCCTGATTTCGCTCTTTGTCTCACAGGACAGCCACCCCTATTGGCCACACCCAATCCAGCTTTCCTCAAGGAACTAACAAGGCCTGGATGCCCTGCAGATACGCAGAGCGACAAAAGGGGCTGATTGGGGCTGCGATGACAGAGGAAGACTTCCTGGAGGAGGCGACAGCACACACACAGCATCTCTCAGTCCATGAGCCCACACAGAAGGGAGGTGCCACCCTGGCCTACACACAGGACCCCACGGCCACAACGTGCCAGCACACACAGCCAAGCTGCAGCTGCCTACGGATCCCCAGGCACAGCGGCCACTCAGCAAGTGGCGCAACCTCCCTGCAGTCCACGCCCACAGAAACAGGACTGCCCGGCTCCCCAAGCTGGGCCTCTCCTGGGAACATTCCTGAGCCTCTCATTGCTGTGACCCCCACCTGCACACCCCCAGGCCCGGGACACTACCACCCACAGAGGCCACTATGGCTGCACAAGCCCCACCCGGGTCGGCTGCAGCTGCCGAGGCACGGCACACACCGCAGGTGGTCACATGCTGGCTGGCACTGGGAGGACATGCATCCCGCTGCAGACATGTTCTCATCCAGGCTCATGGCTGAGGGTGGGGAGCATACTGTACATCTGCACCCCACTTTCTCACAGTCCTGTGAGGTCTAAGCCCGTGCTGTGCGGTGGTCCATGTGAGGAGTGACGTGGGCTGAGGGCACAGCCCCCGTGGAACAGTGTCCTTCCATCCCCGCTTGCTGACGCTCCCGCAGAACTGTGACAACCCTGCCCAACAGCCAAGGTCACAGCTTGGGGCTACGACACTTACCTGTGCTCCTGGGAGCTGTCCACCTTGGAGACCTCCCAGCACTGTGTGTGTGTATGTGTGTGTGCGTGTGTGTCTCTAGGGTCCCAGCACAGTGTGTGTGTGTGTGTGTGTGTGTGAGTGTGTAGGGTTCCAGTACCACATCTGGGAGGGAAGGGAAGACTCTTGGGGTGAGCCCACCTTGTGCCCAGAACTGGGAAAGCGTCTGCTCACTTCTGGAGCCATGCTCAGCCCTGGGCCACAGGCCTGCAGGTGTGGCTGAGCGCCCACTGCCCGACTCGCTCACCTCAGTGAGCTCTGCCACGTGGTCCCCCAAAGTGCCACAGCCCCTCTGCACATGGTCCCCCAAAGTGCCACGGTTCCTCTGCACGTGGTCCCCCAAAGCGCCTCGGTCCCTCTGCACGTGGTCCCCCAAAGCGCCACGGCCCCTCTGCACGTGGTCCCCCAAAGCGCCACGGTCCCTCTGCAGACAAGCTGTTAGAGCCACTGTGGAGCTGCCCCAGCACCAGGACACGGGCAGGGCCAGGGAGTCCCTGCCCCAGGGACCCCCCACATGCCACTGAGCCACAGGCCAACAGGCCCATGGCTGTCACCGGGACTCAGGGGGCCGGAGGGACCAGCTGCAGCGAGCTGCTGCCATGGTAACATGGAAGCCAGGCATCTCCACAGCTGAAAACCTGGGAAAGGCGGTGGGAGCCTTCCAGGGAAGCCAGGCCCAGGCTCACCTGAGGCCTGACCACACAAGTGGACAAGAAGGGCTCCCCACCACGGTGACCTTCCGCAGGCCAGGGACAGGGGACTGGGCTGCTGCCCGTAGCACACGGATGCGTTGGCCACCTCCTGGCCCGAACATCAGAGCACCGAATCTCCCCAGGGAGGGACAGGATGTGTGGGAGCAAACAGCTTGAGGACGCTGAGCAAAAACCCTGGGGACTCAGTCCCTCCGCTGCGTGCAGTGTGCACCGCGGGCAGCGGGATGCTGCAGTGACCATCCGGCCCAGCCCTGTGAGCTGGCAGGTAGGGAGGACAGACTTCTCTCCAGCCACAGTCTCCCCACAGGAACACACTCCCCAGGCGTGAGCAGGTGTTACCCACAGAAAAGGGAGCCAAGGCAACCCAAGTGTTGAGAGACCAAGTGTGCAATGCCTTCAGACCCAACACTGACTGCAGGTCTGGGGGTGCCCGGGGACAGGTCCTGACCAGCCCCCCGCCCACACACACACGGGTAGGCAGCACACGATGGTTGGGGTGCTCATGCCCCATGTCCGAGCGCCCGGGGACAGGTCCTGACCCAGCCTCCTGCCCACACACACCCGGGTAGGCAGCACATGATGGTTGGGGTGCTCACGCCCCATGTCCGAGGGTGCAGGGACAGGTCCTGACCCAGCCTCCCGCCCACACACACCCAGGCAGGCAACAGATGATGGCTGGGGCTGGGCCTGCCTTGGCTATGATGGCAGGCATGTGGGGAGTGAACCATGGACGAAAGATGCCATTCCCCACCAGCCCACTGCACCCCCACCCCCTGCTCTGACTTGCAAACAAATAAAAATAACGTAAATAGACAGAGCTTCAAAGTCTGGTCAATATGCTAAAGGCTGCCATGGAAAAGGCAGACAAGAGGCAGAAATCAAAGGGGTATTTCAGCAGAGACATGGAAAATACACGTTGACCCTAACATACACGTAGCTAAACCAGTATGTCTTAGTGTGTGTGTCACTGTGAGGTGATGCTGACTGGACAGGTGTCACTTTGTGAGTGAGGTGATGCTGTGTTGGGTGTGTGTTGGTATATATGGAACACAGCACTCTGGTCAGCCAGCTCTGAGCACTGAAGACACACGGAGGGAGACCCACGAACCCACAGCCCGTGTAGCTGGGCAGCGGACAGCCTCGCCAGGAATGAGGGGAGGGGGCGGTTCCCTGGAGCAACCTCAACTGAAGAGGGGGTAAAGACATCTGGACTAGAGGGAGACCCCCCAAAAAGAGAGTGCCCACATCAGACCTGTGCTCCTGACAGACCCCATTAGCTGCAGGTTTAGGGCAGACCCCAGCTCACAGGGAGGGGAGGTGCCCAGGCACATGGGGGCGGGCGAGGGCTGGAGGGCGCAGTGCCCAGCAGGGGTCTCCCAGAACAGGCGGCAAAACTGCACATGGCCCGGGAGAGTGGGCCGCGAGGGGGCCCTGGGGCTCAGCGCCCCGGCACCGGGGTACCCTCTCCAGTCACAAGCCCTAGTGACACACATACACACACCAAGTGACACCTATCCAGTCAGCGTCACCTCACAGTGACACACACACTGTCACCTCATAGTAACACCCCAAGTCACTGTCACCTCATACAATGACACACCTATCCAGTCAGCGCCACTCACAGAGACACACAGTACCGCTTCACACGGTGACACGCTCCCCCAACACAGCAAACACAGCATCACCTCACCAAGTGACACCTACCCAGTCAGCGTCACCTCACAGTGACACACACTAAGACCGCATCACTTCACACGGTGACACACACGCTAAGACATCGTCATCTCACAGTGACACACGTCAGTGTCTCGTCACACAATGACACGCAGACACTGAAGTCAGGACACCCGCCAGCCTGCACTGCGACACTCCTGCCTGGGCTGCCTGCCCCAGCACGGTCTGTGGGAGCCCACGCTCCATGTGTCCACTCCTCTCACCTGTCACGCGCTCAGCACAGGCCATGTGGCACTCGGTCTCAGGCGGGGAACACTCGGTGAGGACCACCTGCCCTCAGACTGACTGGAATCCAGGGAAGATAAAACTGGCAAGGCGGGCGCCCTGGCGGAGGGCCCCACAGCCAGTGCCAGGACAAGGTCCTGGGCTCGCCGGGGAACAGCAAGCCATTAACAGCCACCTGCCAGCAAAACTGAAGGCAGGGCCACCTTCAGCCAGCGACACAACTGTATTTCCCACAGCTGTCCTGGGCTTGAGCTGCCGGACAACGATGGACAGAGTGGTGGGCCTCCGGCCTGGGGCCTCTGCAAGCCACATCACAGCGGCTGGTTCGATGCCGGCTCCTCCACGCCCCATCCAGCTCCCTGCTAACGAGCCACCTGGCGGGCAGCAGTGACAGCCCAAGCACTTGGCTCCTGGCCACTCACCTGGGAGATCCAGACACAGCTTTGGGCTCCTGGCTTCAGCTCAGCCCAACCCCAGAACCTGAGGGCAGTGGGGGAGCGAATCAGTGGCTGCAAGATCAATTTTCTCTCTCATATAAAAATGAAATCAGGGCCCAGCGTGATGGCCGGGTGCTTAAAATCCTTGCCTTGCAACCACTGGGATCCCATTGGGACACCAGTTCGTATCCCAGCTGCTCCACTTCCCATCCAGCTGACTGCCTGTGGCCTGGGAAAGCAGCAGAGGATGCCCAAAGCATTGGGACCCTGCACCCACCTGGGAGAGGGAAGAAGCTCCTGGTTCTGGCTTCAGATCAACTCAGCTCTGAGCATTGTAGCCACTTGGGCAGTGAACCAGTGGATGGAAGATATTTCTTTCCTTCTCTCTGTAAATGTGCCTTTCCAATTAAAATAAATAATCTTTTTAAAAAAGAAAACAAACATTTTAAAAACTGTTTTTAAGAATTTATAACTATGAACAAGGCCAAACAGGAGGGCCATGGGCCAGTGGTGCCTGAGCTCTCTGTATCTGCACCCTGGTCAGCCTCATGCTATTCTACGGGCCTTCCAGCAGGGCCCCACCATGAGCTGTGGGTCCCAGCAGCCTCAGGCCCTGGCACTCCAGAGACCTGGGACATGCTGCCTTCCAGCAGGGCCCCACCATGAGCTGTGGGTCCCAGCAGCCTCCGGCCCTGGCACTCCAGAGACCTGGGACATGCTGAGTGCCCTGATACTTCAATACCTTGTATGTCATCACTTCTTTTCAGATGTTTGTTATAGAAAAGAGACAAAGAGAGGTTTTCCACCCACTAGTTCACTCCCCAAATGGCTGCAATGGCCAGAACTGGGCTTATCAGAAGCCAGGAGCACCTTCCAGGTCTCCCATGTGGGTGCAGGGGCCCAAGCACTTGGGTGATCCTCTGCTGCTTTCCCAGGCACATCAGCAGGGAACAGACTCAGAAGGTCACTTGACTGGTCAGGTAGGAGCAGCCAGGACTAGAACCAGCAACCAAGTGGTATGCCGGCACCATCGGCAAAGGTTTAAACGGCTACACTACGGTGCTGGCCCCACAGCCAGGTTCTTTATCTCTGAGCACTAGGGCCTCCCAGACACCCTTGATGGGGCAGGGATGAAGAAGAGCAGGAGGGAGAAGAAAAGGGCACGACCCGTGCAGGGCCCTCCTGGAGATACTCGGCAGACAGAAACTGCTGACCGCACTCGCAGGGCCACCCGGCTCCTCCTTGGCCAGAGCCAGCGGTGCACAGGAAGCACTAGGGCACCCATGGATCAGGAGACCAGCCCTGGCCTCTGTCGCCCCACAGTCAGGTGACCCCAGCCAACCCCTACCTCCCTGCACCCTCTGGACCAACGCCGGGAGAGCACGCGGCATGCAGCTCTGGACAAGCAGTCGTGGGTGCCCACAGCAGGTTCTCACTGGGCATCAGGCAGAAGCAGGTGTCTGTTCCCAAGACCACCAGCTAACCAGAGCCCAAGTCCCACCTGCTGCCTTGGAGGCCACTCCCAGGTGCTTCTCGGCTGAGAGAAATCTTTCTGGCAGGCACTTCAGCCCTGCCTCATTTCACAACCTGGGCTGTACAAATGGGCTGGGAGGCTACCGACACAGGAGCCCCTCTCCAACAGAAACATCTTCCCTGCATCCGCCCACCACCCCATGGGAAGGTTCAGGAGTGGTGAGAACCAGGAAAGAAAATAAAAGTAGGGGGAGGGGCAGCACAATGGTATAACCCACTAAGCCTCCAGCTGTAGTGTCAGCATCTCATACAGGCGTTGGTTCAAGTTCCAGCTGCTCCATTTCCAATACAGCTCCCTGCTAATGCACTTGGGAAAGAAGCAGAGTTCGGGCCCCTGCACCCACATGGGAGACCCAGATGAAGCTGCTGGTTCATGGTTTCAGACTGGCCCAACTCCAGTGGTTGTAGCCATCTGGCAAGTGAACCAGTGAATGGAAGGTGTGTGTGTGTGTGCGTGTGTGTGTGTGTGCGTGTGTGTGTGCACCCTATCTCTCTCTGTAACTCTGCCTTTCGAATAGCACTTTTAAGGAAGAGAAAGAAGGAGCCTGCAAAACGCCCATGCACCTGCCGCTCCTTCATTGCAGGGAAGCATCCCAGCCTCCAGGGGCCACACAGGCTTGGGCACCCAGGGAAGGGGCCAGCCTCTAGCCTGTTCCTCACCCCGCGTTGGCAGCAGGTGCTGGGATGGTGCACTTGTGAACCACAGAGCACGCGCCCCGCGGGCAGACAGCTGTCCGCTGCCAGCGCATCAGCTCTTGGCTTGCGCACAATTCCAATAAGGCTGTCCTCAGGCCACCTAGCTCCTGGGCATGAAACCCAAAGAGCAAGCAGCAGCAGACTGCAAGCAAGACCCCAAGGCCCATCATGCCAGCTGCTCTGTGGCTTGCTGGGAACACGGATCTCACAAGGAGTCTGAGGCCACGGCTGGAAGCATCGCCGGCCCGTGTACTCTCCTCATTTTAGCATGCACGCTGCAGGGTCAATGGTGGACATACAGGGGGACATACAGGGCTCAGCCCTGCCCTGGGCTGCCCACATGCCATCCCAGGAGGCCCAGGACTGTGTCCCTCCTCACTTCCAACCCAGCTTCCTGTCAGTGCGCCTGGGAGGCGGTGGATGAGCGCCTAAGCTCTTGCCACCCCAAAGGAGACCTGGATGGGGCTCCTGGCTCCTGCAGGCACCCCAGCACCCCAAGGTCTCCACCCCTACTACTGCTCCTGGGGCTGGCCACCTCCCAGCACCCCCCTCAGAACGTAATTCCTCCTGTACCCCTCCAGTCCCGGTGCAATGTAGGCCAGGAGCCCTTGACACTGGGCATCCCAAAGACAAGAACTTAACAGTTCACCTGGGAGCACACCTGTGCCCCGCTGACTCTTAATTCTTAATCATCCCACTGGCAAAAGCATCCCAACTTCCTCCTTCCAACCCCTTTGGCAACCCCAAAGCCGGCTGGCGACCCGCATCCAACCCGCTGTTTAATCTGACCACCTCCCAGCCCCTCACTCTTGGGCCTTTGGCTTGGGTGAGGGGCCCAGGCAGCCTGCAGACCTCGGCCTGCCGCAGCTTTCCCCAGGGACCTGCGGCCACAGTTCAGCTGTCTCCACCCCCACTTCCGCTTGCCAAGCCCGCCAGCCTGCCACCCACAGCCCCTTCCCCAGCCTCCCTCGGAGAGGGAGGGAGTCTGGCCAGGCTAACAGCTCCTTCCCAAAGCTGGCCCCAGGGACCCCAAAGCCAGTCACCTCCTGACCCCCTCCGCAGGCCAGGGTTGGCAGAGGCTGGCATGAGGGGATGCTGGGAATCCCCGCAGGACACAGCAGCAACCAGGGCCTTCTTGGGGCTATTCCCACAGCAGGGGAGTCCACCCCTGCTCCCCACACCTTGGAAGGGACACCACACAGCCCCAGCACGGGCTCAGCCCGCTGTGTGACCTTGGGCCAAGCCACCTCCCTCTCTGAGCCCCGCGCGCCCGGCGGGGACAGTCACCTCCACCGTGTCCGGCCACCGTGGGTATGACGTCAGCCAAAGGCCGGGCCCGGCGGGGTGACCGCGGTGCTGGCGGCGGCCCGGGGTGGGCGCTGCGGGGCGCGCGCCAGGGCGGCTGCCGTCGCCCCCACCCGCACCCGCGCCCCGGCTGACCCCTGCGCAGGGGCCCGGAGAGGTCACACCGCCGCGGGCGAGGGCCGAGGGGCGAGGCCCGGCGCGGCGCTCACCGGACTTGGGGTAGGTGACGATCCACACGTCGCTGGGCCGCACCGGGAAGTTGGCGATCTCCTCCATCTTCCCGCGGCAGAAGGGCGGCAGCCGCACGCCATGGAACTCGAAGTACTTGCTCTCAAACTCCCCCGGGGTGCTGGGGGTCTCGGCCTCGCTCTCCGCCATGCCGCCGCCCGCTCGCCACCCGCGCCCCGCACGCGCCCCGCACGCGCCCGCGCCCTGCCGCTCCAGCCGGCGCGCGGCGCCCCGCTCCGCAGACGTGACGTCACGGCGCCGCCCGACGCCGGCTCCCGCGGGCGTGACGTCACGGCTCCGCCCGCCGCGCCCGGCCGGGGGACCAGACCAGGGGACGAAGGCCGGGGCCGCCTCTGGTGCAGCGGAGGGACCCCCGGAGGCGCGCCGCACCGCTGGCTCTGTCGATTCAGCAGATGCGGGTCCTCCCCCGGGAAGAGATGGGGCGCTGAGCTATGACGTCTGGAAGCCGACTCGCAGATCCCGGGGTAGGACCCCCAAGTGCAGGAAGAGGAAGGCGGTGCATTCCGGGTCGCATTGCCCGGAGCTCAGCATCCTCCTCCCTCCTGCCCCTAGGAGCCTGGGGGAAGGGGCGGAGCACCTGTGCGGGCATCTGCGCGCACCTGCTGCCTTGCAGGCCTCCCGGGAGTCTCCTGCGCTCAGACGCAAACAGGAGGCAGAGCCAGGGCGGGTGCAAGGCCTGTGGAGGCCGGTGCGAAGCCTGTGGGGGCCGGTTCGAAGCCTGTGGAGGCCGGTGACTGGCCCCGGAACAGAGCGGGTCAAGCGCACAGGCCTTGCCAGGACGGTGGCACAAGGTGGCCAGGCCACGGTTCTCGTTATGGGTGTAGGAAGATGCCCAATGGGAAATGGGAGGTGGCAAAGAGCAGCCCCGTGTTTTTGGAAGTGTTGGCCTGAATTAATGATGTTTAAATAAGTATCCATGTCTTCTGTCCTTTGCCAGGGCAGTTCGGCAGTGACAAGCCCGTCTTCACAGCCAATATGCAGTCTTCGCCTCCAAGCGCTTGACACACACACACACACAGAGGAACTGGGGTTTCCTGGCGGTAGAGGCCAACTCCAAGAAGTACCGGGGGAGCCTAATACAACTTGGTGTACCAACAATCCCCCCACCAAAGCAGTCGGAGAGGGGAAGGGAGTGGGTCAGAGGGGACAGGACAGGATTAGCAAGGGTGACCACAGACAGAAGCTGTGAGCATCCGGACCACAGCACGTGTGCGAAGGAAGCCCTCGGTGACAGGGGTGACTCAGGACGGGAACCTGGCACTCGTATGAACAGTGTAGTGGCAGAGAAGGCATCTGCACATGAATAAACATGTTTGTAAAATCACCGGAGGGCGAGGAGAGAACAAAAGTTACATCGTGAAATGAATAACCGAGGAGGGTGGAGAAGGCTCCTCTTCCCAGTAGAACACTCAATGAGCTGGGCAGGAATGAGGGCCTTCCAGAACAGTCTTTTTGGTGGCCATCCCGCTGTCTCCCAGGAGGGGCGGGCTTCCCTGCAGAACCTTGACTTGATTGGTTAAGAATCGACGCCGACCACGTGATCAGAATCAACATCTCCAATCCAGTGGTAGGCGGCAGCATCCGCCTCCCCGTGGGATGCCAACCTCGAGTGGTTTTACTGCAGAAAGTTCATCCCAGATCTAGGAATTAAGACAGGGAATAAAGGTAAGTGCTGATAACTCAATACACTGTCGTTGTGAATGAGTTTTTAAAAGCCATGGTTGCCGGGGGAGGGGCGACATGGTGGTGCCAGCATTCCATATAGGGGCCACTTGAGTCCCACTGCTCCACTTCCTTTCCAGCTCCCTGCTAAAGTGTCTGCAGAGGCGGCAGAGGGTGGCCCAGGTGCACTCACGTGGGAGACTCACAAGAGGCTCCGTGGCTCTCAGCTTTGGATTAACCCAGCTCTGGCCATTGTGACCACATGGGGAGTGAACTAGTGGATGGAACATCCACCCCACCTCTCTTTCTCTCTAACTCTGCCTTTCAAGTGAAATAATCTGAGTTTTTAAAAAAGCAATGAAGGACATTACTGGTACAGTAATAGGAAGGCAAGCTCTATGCTAGATAACAGTATATTCATTTTCTCAAGGGAGAGATACGTGATGAAGTATTTGGGAGTGAATAGTACACGTCATGGCTGTAGCCATCTTCAACAGGTTACACACAAAAGAAAGAAAAAATATTTGTAACACTCGGTCCAGGGCATCGTGTGTATTTACACTGAGGTGGCTGTTCCCGGGCTGCACAGGTCGCTGTCCGTGGTGCTGACCATCGGCTCCTGCGCCCTGCCCCTGGCGCTGGCTCGGCACAGATCTCCATACCCCTGGTCTTGAAGCGTAGTTTTCCATCTGTCCTACCACATTTATTTATTTTTAATATTTTTATTGGAAAGGCGGATATACAGAGAGGAGAGACAGGGAGGAAGATCTTCCGTCCGATGATTCACTCCCCAAGTGAGCACAATGGCCAATGCTATGCCAATCCGAAGCCAGGAGCCTCTTCCGGGTCTCCCACGCGGGTGCAGGGTCCCAAAGCTTTGGGCCGTCCTCGACTGCTTTCCCGGGCCACAGGCAGGGAGCTGGAAGGGAAGCGGAGCTGCCGGGATAGAACCGGCGCCCATATGGGATCCCGGGCGTGCAAGGCGAGGACCTTAACCACTTGCGCCACGGCGCTGGGCCCTGTCCTACCACATTTTAAGGTTAAGTGGTTACTGACTGTGAAAATGTCCAAATTGATCTGGTTTAGTGAAGTGCAACATCCCCCAGTGTCCACTACGATGACTCAGTCCACATCCCCCAGTGTCCATGATGACGACTCAGTTTTATCAGAGCCCATCCACACCCCCCCACACACACACTCTCTCCCTCCTTTAGAGACGATTCCAGGTTGGGGGTCATGCTGTAACACAGTGGGTTACTCCCTCTCTGCAATGCTGACACCTCTTCTTATACCATCAGCTCCAGTCCACCTCCCTGCTAACACAGGTGAAATGCATGTGCTTGGGCCAGCCACGAGGAAGGTCTGGATGCAGTTTCTGTATCCTGGCTTTGGTCCGGCCCAGCCCTGAATGTTGCAGACACTTAAAGTGTGAATTTGTAGATGGAATTTTCCCTCTTTCCTCTGTGTGTGTGTGTTTCATTCTCTATAGCTTTCAAATTAATAAATCTTTATTCCAGGTATTCCACATTTCATTTATAAATACTTGACTTTGGCTCTCTAAGTCAGAAGTCTGAAAGCGTATTCCCAACACATGAGCACCCCTCGAAAGCAACAACAGCTGCTTGACACCACCTATACCACATGTGTACATGAGCCCATTGGTGAATTGGAGCACAAAGCACAGAAGGGTTGAGATGCTTGGGACGCTGCCAGAACTTAATGCTGGAACATTGAGCTCGGCGTCTTACATCTGTAAGGGATGAGTTACGTCGTTTGTGGAACTCAGATCGTGACTGCCACGGGCCCCTTGTTCAGACACAGGATGGAGAGATCAGAGTTCAATAACAGAAACCAGAAAAGCTTTCTATATGATCACATTTTTTCTCAAAGAGTTTTTTTTTTTTATTGGAAAGGCAGATCTACAGAGAGAAGGAGCTATAAAGAGAACGGTCTTCCACCTGCTGGTTCACTTCTTAAGTGGCCACATGGGCCAGAGCTGAGCTGATCTGAAGCCAGGAGCCTCCTCTGAGTCTCCCACATGGTTATAAGATCTTAAGCCTTTGGGCCATCCCTCACTGCTTTCCCAGGCTACAAGCAGGAAGCTGGATGGGAAGTGGAGCAGCTGGGATACAAACTGGCACCCATATGGGATCCTGGACATGCAAGCCGAGGATTTAGCCAGTTAGGCTATGGCATTAGGCCCTATCTAAGCACTTTTAATGGTCTTTTCTTTGCACCCCCCCAGGATAATGCTCAAAAACTGTGAAGCCCTGTGCAGTGTGCTTGTGAGTCATCTCTGTGATGGCTAAGTTGTGACAGGTGGCCTCAACCCAAGAGCTGGGAGTGCTCAAGATCCAAGGGACGCATACAGAGTGTGAGAGGCCACTGAGTGATTAAACCAAGCAAGCCAGAAACAGCTAATGGCATGCTGCAGCCAACGAGGGTGGGGAGAGGGGGCGGGGGAGTGGCCACCTACCATGTCTCAGGTTAAGGCAGTGAGACCTAGATGTCACAGGCCAAGCCCCCTTAATGAGTGAAGACCTGGTGAGGAAAGGCTGTGTGCCTTTCCACGAGGCTGTGTGCCTTTCCAGGAGCCATTATCCACGATGAGGGTCGAGGGACAGGAAGGACCCAAGCATTGTTTCCAAGGCCCCTGGAACTCCAGATCCTCACCATGCAGAGTCAAATGGCCAGGCCAGCCTTGTCCCATGGAGGAAGAAACCTCAAATCGAGCACGTGGGTGTGGGGACAGGACACAGAGTGTTCTAACTTTGTGCATCAGAGATGGCACTTGGGGGCTGGGATCCCCTGACAGCAAGGGAGGCTGATACAGGGGGCAGTCCCCGTGTCCCCACTCAGAGATAGCAAGCCAGGGAGAAGGCCCCAGGGTCCTGGACAGCAGTGGGAAGGTAGAAAGCGCCCTGCATGTTCATGCCCTTGGCCAACCTCCACTCCCTTTTAAAATCCTGCCCAGACCGCAGCTTGCGCCATGATTCCCACAGGTGACCTCCACCCTGACAGTTCATACAGTCTAAAGGCCCTGCCCTGGACCTCGCCTGTCTCCTCTGTGAAATGGGGCAGCAGCGAGGACTAAGGGGCCTCTGTGACCATGGTCTTCCTGGGCAGCCTGCTCCACAGGAAGGTGGCCATTCCAGGGACAGCTCCCTGGTGCCCCCGTGTGGCTGTGGGGATGCTGCCAGGTTCCGGAACCCTGAGCTTGGACCTGGAGGGTTCAGAGCGGCCCAGGCCCATTCACTCAGGGTCCGCTCCATAGCTCCTGCCTTTCCCCTCTCCCACGGGAGCAGTGGGGCCGTCACTCTCCATCCTCTCTGACCCTGAGCACACACCCTCTGCAAGCCTCCTGCCTCCAGCCCGTCCCCCTCCCTGCTCTCATCCCTGTCCCCCGCCCACGGTGCCCACTTCCTCTTGTGGGCCATCCACCCAGCCCTTTCAGCCACAGCCTGCCCCCTGTCCCGTTCAGACTGCG